TGTCTCAGGTGTGCACAAGGCCGTCGCCGATGCACTTTCCCACATCCAAGCTATCTCCGCTGACGCCGGCACTGCCATCGACTTGGCAGCCATGGCCACAGCACAACCCAACGATCCTGAGCTTGATCTACTACGCAGGTCTCCCTCATTGGATATACGACTCGTTCCGCCGACATCATCAGACGGAACGATACTCTGCGATTTATCTCTGGGCACGCCACGCCCAGTCATCCCACACGAGTTTCGGCAGACTGTGTTCGACACGTTGCACGGCTTGTCTCATCCAGGCGTTCGTGCATCGGTTAAACTCGTAACCGCACGAGTCGTTTGGCGCAATGTTAATCGGGACGTCCGTACCTGGGCAGCTGCTTGCCTTCCGTGTCCACGCGCGAAGGTGCACAAGCACACAAGAAGCCCATTAGGCACGTTTTCGAAGCTAGACACACGTTTTCATCACGTGTACATCGACCTCGTAGGTCCTCTGCCGCCTTCCAAAGGATCTGTATATCTACTGGCCTGCATCGATCGATTTACTAGATGGCCTGAGGCCGTTCCCATCCCAAATTGCTCCTCGATTACGATAGCGAAAGCTTTTATGGAGCGCTGGGTAGCTCAATACGGCTGTCCCGCCATCGTGACCACCGAACGAGGGTCACATTTTTCGTTGACATTTGCCATGTAGCTTAAAAATGTAGACTGTTGTCACGTTCAGACGACGGCGTATCATCCGGCCGCTAACGGCATGGTGGAGCGTTTTCACCACCAGTTAAAGGCAGCGCTACGTGCGCACGCAGATCCTTCATGGTCTGAAACGCTTCCCCTCGTTCTCCTAGGCTTAAGAAACACGGTTAAAACCGATTTCGACGCTACACCAAGGCAGCTAGTCTACGGTTGCACGCTGGGTTGCCCGGACAGCTGGTAGCACCAGCCCCATGTACTTCCACTTTTGACTACGGAAGTTACACTGATCGACTGGCTCCCCAACTGCATGAGCTACGTCCACCCGCTCCTCGATCACAGAAGACACCAGTGTACGTGCACGAAAAGCTGTCTACGTGTTCACACGTCCTTCTTCGCGCAGACGTTGTTCGATAGCCTCTTCATTCGCCGTACATAGGACCCTTCAAGGTGCTGCATTGTGCAAGTAAGGCGTACACTATTGACCGCGGTGGTCGACACGAAGTAGTCACCATCGACCGTCTAAAACCTGCCTTTATGGAAGAAACTACCTCGCCTACTTCGTATAATAGTGCCTCGTGCGACATCACAACTCACCGTACTAGTTTTCCGCATGCTAATAAAGTCCAACCAGACTCCGATCTCGGTCTACAAGCTTCAGCCGTTCCGACATCTCCCGAACCTAGTCCGCCGTCTCCCACGACCAATCGCCGTGGTAGGAAGGCACGTAAGCCCGTTCGTTTCTCCGACTATGTTCAGTGTAAATACTTTTAACTTTAAAGATGTTGTATATATTTGCCCCCTTTTCGGTCGATTAACGTTTTGAAAACGTACAAGAATATCAAAAAACCTCGGCAAAAACTTTATCGAAAAAGATATTCAAAAATCAAAAAATATTTAAACACGCAGATTATTCGTTTGTTCTTTATGGACTAGTATTAACTAGTCCTACAAGCATTATAAAATGCCAATGTCAAGCTAAATCCCTTCGACTGACGAAGATTTGTGTCAAAAGCGAAATGTTGTGTATAATCATAAGTATAATAACAAGTTGAGTATCGACCCTGCTGTATTATGACTTCTCGGACGGTTCCAAATATTTTGTAAGATATCCAGTACCCCAGATGTCATTTAAAAGTCCAACACGATAATAAATAAGCTTGCTTTATGTTTAGCTTAACCGCTTCGTGGGGCAAAGCAGAGATAAGATTTTAAATTACATATAAATGACAAGCACAATTCTCTAAATTTCGGTCGCTGTTACGAAGAGTTCTGTAGCAGTCTGGAGATTCCCCGGTTTGCCTGTGTAAAATTCTAACTAAAATTATTTCATTGTACACTTAGGCAACCGGTGTGGTTTTTTGAACTGATTGCTGAGTTCGAATGCTTGACTTGCTCATCGCCCTGCGGCTCCATCAACTAGCACCTATGCTAGGTACCGCGAGGCTAGAAATAGGTGTAAACAACACTTAAGGAAAGCTCGGCTGGTGTACGAAAAGGAATTGGCTGACGGAGCTTCGGAAAATCCGAAGAAGTTCTTCGCTTATGTTAACAGACGCTGTGGTTCAACTTCGGTAATCCTAACTTTGATGAGGACCGCTGGAACTCGTGCGTATGTGGACTCAGATAAGGCTCGTGTACTTGGGGAACAATATGCAGGGGCTTTTGTACGTGAGGCCGCGTTGACTAGCGTTGAATTTGTCCCCAGAGTTCCTGATGGTTCTTATTTAGCTGAGTTTACTGTGGGGGATACGCAAGTCCTTAAACTGCTGCAAGAACTGAACCCTACCAAATCAGCTGGACCTGATTCAATTCACCCGAAGCTTCTGCATGAGTTGGCGGGGGAACTAAGTGGACCGCTGACGATGGTGTTTCAGAAATCACTTGACACCTGTACATTACCTTCCGAATGGAAGGAGGCTGTCATCTGTCCTATCTTCAAAAATGGCGACAGGAGTCTGTCAGCCAATTATAGGCCAGTTAGTCTGACTAGCGTCGTGGTCAAACTGCTTGAAAAGCTGGTGAGAGATTCGTTGGAATGTCACCTGAATAGATTTAATCTGCTCAGCAGTGCACAACATGGATTCCGGAAGGGGTTTTCGTGTTTGACGAATTTGTTGGTTGCTCGTGAAGCTTGGGCCGAGGCAGTGGACAATGGCCACGTAGTGGATGTGCTTTTCGTAGACTTCTCGAAAGCATTTGATAAGGTACCCCACTTGAGGCTATCACATAAGCTGAGGTCCTACGGCGTATCTGGCCGCGCCCTTCACTGGGTATCTGCGTTTTTGCAGGGAAGAGAGCAGTGTGTACGTGTGGGTCGCAGCTTATCCTTTAAGCAAGCGGTCCTTAGCGGTGTCCCACAGGGCTAGGTCCTTGGACCGATGCTGTTCTCTATCTACGTAAACGATCTCCCTGGAGAGCTTGGGGTATCATCCTTATTGTTTGCTGATGACCTTAAGTTATGGAATGTTGTAAATGTTCCTGGGGGTTCTGAGGCCATACAGCGTGCACTGGACAGACTCTGGGACTGGTCTACTTTGTGGCTACTGCCCATAAATCAGGCTAAGTGTTCCGTCCTTCGTATAGGAGCAACTTTCCCGCCTTCGAGCTACGTACTCGGTGGGGTCGAACTCCCCCTTGTCTCCAACCAGATAGATCTAGGTGTCGTTCATTCCTCGTCTTTGCATTCTGGTGACAACTGGAAGAAGGCCGCTAGTAGGGGTTTCAGAATGTTATGGTTAATACGCCGTTCTTTCGGGGTCTTAACTGCCGACATATTTGTGAAGCTATTCTCAGCTTTCGTTCGGCCCCATCTGGAATACTGCGTCCAGGCTTGCGCGCCCTGCCTTGTTCGGGACAAAATGGAGCTTGAGAGGGTTTTGAGAGTAGGTACCAAATTGGTCGAGGGGTTACGGGGGCAATCGTACCCCGAGCGTCTACTTAGCTTGGGTATGTATTCAATGCACTACCGACGGCTTCGAGGAGACCTAATCCTTACTTACCGCATTTTAACAGGGAAGGTTGGGCCGGACTTGCGCTGGCTGTTTAGCCCGGCTAGGTTGCCTTGTCTTCGCGGTCATCCCATGAAGCTACACAAGCCGCGTTCTGACGGGATCAGGGCGGAAACTCGGTTATCGCGTAGAGTTATCGAGCGCTGGAACTCGCTTCCAGAAAATGTAGTCAGTGAACCTACGGTTAAGGGTTTCGAGCGTCAGTTAGACGCTCTTGGGTGGCAACACGAAACCTTTCCCTTCTCCTGACCATATCCATCTTCAAACTTTCAGTTCTTATTCTGTCATTATCTTCACTCTTTGGTGTTATCCTTCATTTTAATGACTTTCATTCCCCTTTATCTTTTCATTTACTTTCTACTTCTTTCTTACTTCACGTAACCTACACAGCGCGGACTGCTAATGCAGGGAACGTGGGCAGTAGTTGGTTGATCAGGGTGTGTTTCGGGTGTTTCGTTTTAGATCTATCAAGAACCAACACCTTATCATTTCCTGGCTCAACGATTTTCTCAAGAAGGAACACTCAAGGGATTTTCCTATCGTTCCAGTCCATCTGAATCTGAATCTGAATCTGAATCTGCTTGGCGCTCGCCTCTGTTGCAACTCGCAACTGCTCTGTGTGCTGTGCTTGCTCCGTTCCCCTAGCTGGAGCGTCCACGGTATCGTTCTTTTATAGTAAAATAACAGGGAATCTTTTACTTTACCAATAAAAGTTTCCCTGCAACTCGATCTGTCTTCTCGAATCGCTCTCTGGGCTCCCGGTACAGGCGACCCTCTAAAGTTCTCCAAAGCTATTATTCCAGGCACATATACTTTTATGATTAGTTGTTTTGACTACCAAAGCTACAAACTTATCTGAAAAAAAGTAACAGTGATTTCTTCCGGATTAAAACTTATTTTGTATTAAAGCTAACAGTATTAAATGTGACAACGCACTACCTTTCACACAACACGCAGTAAAAACTTAGGTACTGCATAATAAACCGGGTAATTATGCCAAGACATTGTTTTATTACTGTTATCTCGCAGAAAAACAACAGCCTGTTATGTGCTTCACACTACGAGGATAGAACACAACACTCCTTACGCGCTAACCCAAAAAGCATTTGAAGCGAGCGCGCAAAATGTTTCGCTTATGTCCTCATGTGGTCATCGATCTAAACAAAACTATGAAGCTGGCTTCGCTTCCTAAATGTCTTAATCAGAGATTTTATATAAGAACTTAGAAGCTACTGGGTTTATTATTATTATTTTTACACTTGGTTATTTTAATCATATATATGTATATATACAGTTCTGCTCAACTGATGCGTGGGACTTCGGCTGCCTTGTGCAATGTCTGGGTCACTCATAGCACCATCCAACAGAGCAACCAAAACTCGGAACTCATCCATCCCACGCAATGCATCTCCTGCCTTTGGCACCCAAAGTGAAGCTGGATTTTCTGCAACTCATAGTGTGAAAAGTACAGCTTCCAAAGCATCAAGAGCTTCCACGTACCCTAAAAAAGGGACTACATTGGGTAACATTCAGCTGACAAAGGCGGAACAAGACCATTTACATGAAGTACTTGCAAGATTCGATCAATTTAGGTATAACGAGGAAATGAGAATTCGGTGAGTTTCTAGGCCACTTTAGTAAAATTGCTTTCTTCCACCACCATGAGCCTTTTATAGTCTAATAGTTTGGTTTAAATTTTGAGGATATGTCAAAAAAATTTGACAAATGATGATTTATTCCTTAAATGCATAAATGTTTGTATTTTCCGGACCATGACTAATTAGCCGTACATGGTTAAGTTAACGCAAATTGAATAATTTTCAATGCTAGGTTGATAACGGATGTAGCCTGTTGATTTCGTTGTTTGCATGCTTGAAAACGCTGTTCTGCTTCTGCATATGTCAGCTACCCCTGACATCGTCAAGCCATTGGTCTACAAAAGAGTACTTGCTGGAACTGCTAGCAGCCGACGTTTTTCATAATGTGAATATGTGGGAGCTGACCAGTCACTATTTCGGCGGTCTGTAAGCAAGCTTTCATTCACTTACTCATATTCCACCACCTCCTCTGCTTGAATTCACACTATGGTTTAACTTGAAACTTGCGTCAATCCAGTATTGGTCCTCGTCTTACGTATTACAAAAACCCATCACTCATTCTTTTCATTCTTTTATATAAACTTACACCAAAATCACTCACTTCACAATCATCAACTATTTATAAACTGTTAATAAATCCTTAACAATTACATAAAGACACAATCAAAAATAATAAAACTACACAAATTAAAACAAAAAAAAATACAATACCTTCACAAAACTAATCACCACCACAAAATCCACAATATTTTTACATCCATTAACCACCTACAAAATACCACACCCCACTTTCCCCCAACATTTAATCTCAACCCTCCACCTTAAATTGACCCTATATACCTATATCCACCAACCTAAAAAAAATATAACTTTCCTAATACCATACATATTACACCAATTCCTAACATACATAACAACCCACACAACCACAACATCATATACCAACTTCTATACCTATTCACAACATTCAACCATACTAACACAAAAATTTAAAACTTAAACAATAAAAACATTAAAAAATAACATAAAATTAATACCATTACAAAACCTACACTAACAACAACAAACTCAACTAAAAATACACCAACAACAACCAATATAACCCAACTAATAAACAAAAAAAATTATATCTATCTATATAATTCATATAAATACATAAACCAAAACCCCATTCTACACAAAAAATACACTATTTTACAAAAAACATCATATCATAATCCATTAATCAATATTCCATAAAATATCCCAAATCTAATCAATCAATCACATCAAAAACATTTCAAAATAAAATAAAACTAACTTAACCCTAAATCTACCAAATAATTTATACTCAAATAATTACATTTACACTTAAACTTCAACAATATCCCAATCAACAATTTATCTAATCACCACACCAAAACCATAAACCTAAATCAAATCATTAATAAATCTTATTATATCCCAACTACAATACAATCATCTTTTATCTTATACTAAATCAATACTACTTCTAATTACATTTTAACCATTTATACATTATGAACCAAAAAAAATTCCCCATAACCATCTAAAAATCTACACCCCAACAAAAAACTATCTATCCAATATTCTTATCAACACAACCCAACACAACACAACAAATCATAACTTATAATCAATTACATATTAATTAAACTACCACCACACAAACCAATTAACACCAATAATGATAACCCAACTAACACCCATTCACCACATAAAATAACTTACCCAAAAATTATTTCATACATCATCATATATTAACTTAAAACAAACCATTACATTCTTCTAATTTATCCTACTCACAATTCAATAAAAACACTAAACTTCTAAACTTTCAACAATCAAATACTTTAAAAACTTTAAACAACCAAAAATTTAATAATCTTCATAAAACAAATTTATTTTAAAATAACCAATATAACCAATGTTAATCATTCACCCTTATACTAAATCTATTCATACCATCCATCATAACATTCATACTACTTTACTATACAAAATATTCAATTTACATTTACATAAATACCAAATTAAATTACACCCCAATCACCCACCCACATTATACAATCAAACTACCAACACACTTACCCACATAATTCTATAACACCATATTTTACAACAACCCAATCCAACCCTCAATTTTTCCTTCCCCCCCACATATCCTATATTAACACTATATACTTCCATATTATTTATAACCTCTTTTTAACATAAATTCCCTACAAAATCTACCTCCACTAAACCCATAAAAAACTACTTTTTATACAACTCAATATCCCAAATTACCCCAATCCCCCCCAACCCATACCCCCTTACTCACCATAATCTTAATTCAACTTTAAAAACTTATACCCCCCCAACCACTCTACACCATTATAACACCCCACTAAATAAGCCCCATACAAACCTTTAATCCGCACTAATAGATACCTCCCGCGTATACAAAATAAAAACTCAAACCGAAACTAAACTCTATTAAACTCCCCTCATCCCTAAAAAACCTGAAAACCAACATTTTCACAAACTTAAAACAAAACGTCACTAACAATAACGTAAAAAACGAGCAAAACTTATTTTCAACAAATATCTTCCAACCCCCCAACCCACACCAACAAAACAACATCCCAACCATCCTAATACATATAAACTCTCTCACCCCCTCTACCATCATTACACAACCCCCCCCCCCCCCACACCACATACACCCTCCACTACCCCCAACCCCAACCACACAACCCACCCCAACCTCACACCCCACCCACAACCCCCAACCCAATACCCCCTTCCACCAACCAATCCAACAATCCCCCATCCCACTTCCCCACCCCATACAATCACCACACCCCCCACCACACCCCCCCAACCCCACACCACCCCACCCCCCACACCACCCCCCCACCCACCCCACCCCCCCACACCCCCCCCCACCCCCCCCACCCCACCCCCCCACCCCCCCCCCATCCCATAATCAATCCCCCCCCCACCCAACCAACACACCCACCCCAAACCAACCCCCCCCACACCCCCCCCCCCCCAACCCCACACATAAACACCCCCCAACCACCAACCCAACCCACCCCACAACCACACCACCCCCCCCACCCCCCCCCCCCCCCCCCCCCCCCCCCCCCCCCCCCCCCCCCCCCCCCCACCCCACCCCCCCCCCCACCCCCCCCCCCCCCCACAAACCCCCCCCCCCCCCCCCCCCCCCCCCCCCCACCCCCCCCCCCCCCCCCCCCCCAAAACCCCCCCCCCCCCCCTCCCCCCCCCCCCCCCCCCCCCCCCCCCCCTTATATTTATATATATATTTTCCTCCTCCTCCTTTTGGGGAAACAACGCTGTTTGATCATAGCCACGGTTTTTCAGTACCTTCGTCTTGAAAAACAACAATGTGCTTTGGTGGCTTTTTTAGGTGCTCATTGTCCTTCGGGCCAACTGTTATGACGAAATTTTGACGTCGCTTTACAGCATTCTGTCAGTGCTATACAGCGGTAATTTATCTCCGATCACATTCATCCTAAGTTACCATACAAATTCTCGTCTCAGGTACGAATTCTTACGCTCACCCGAAACAGTTCGACAAGCACTACTCAGTGGTTCCCACTTCGTACCTAACTTATTTGAATCATATCGTTGCTCCAGTTCCCTCTCTTGGCCTCTACGTCTAAGTACATGGCAAGCCAAATCCACAGCGTCGGGTATTTTGCTGACAAAATTAGGCCTACAAACAGAGTAGGCAAACACGCTATTACCACAGGCCACCTAGCGATTTCCCAACTCTTCACCCCTAGCTGATTTTAAGAACTTTCCCTAAATCCACGTTTTGTAACCACGGTTGGTCAATAGCCGTGTCAGCTACGCCGTTGTTGCATCCAAGAGCACTTCAGAATTAGCAGCTGCAATTTCTGCTGTCACACCCAAGAGTATTTCGAAAGGCGATGCTGCATTAGTACGTAGCAGGTCACCCGTTCTTCCAACTATGACCCACATTCCTTAAAACGTCACTCGAAAGCAGCAGGATGCCTTATCCATAATATGTATTAGCGGTTCATAATCAACGTCGAATTCACTGGATGAAAAACAGATGGACGACCTGAGGCAATGGAACATCAGGAGCGTTCATCTGCCGAACTTTCGCATTTATCTCGGCTCTCGCTTCACTCGCTCTGGTCATTCTAGTTCTCCACACACATTTTTGTGCGTGTGCCCTTTCGAAGCAGTTTGATGAATACCACTCAGTGCTTTTCAGATCTTGGATCTAACTTGTTTGGATCATATTGTGACACCCGTTATCAATTTTGGCACATGCTCCATCTAGTTCCGCTTGTGAAATCACAGCACTCCCAAAAGGTTCGATAATAATTTTGGTCTCATTCGGTAGAAGAAGCTGAGGGCTCTCGAAGGACTTTGCAACCATCCCTACATGTGGCAGCATAACAAAGTTACGAGACATTTCGCTTCTTTCACCCACTAAGCAACGCGTCCGAGACACTTAGGGAAGCATGTAACGCCCTGTACGCCTCAACGCTTAATGCGACCCAAGCAACACACGCCGCGTCTACGTATACTTGTGTGCGCACCATTGAATCCAATCTGTGCGCAACCGCGAGAGAAAGAGGAGTTGCGCTAGCTATCCGTCTCGGTGGATTGACCTTGCGGTCGGAACAATCCAGATTTCTGAGTTGGAATAGCCATCACACTATCATGTGCCCTGATGAGCGCTACTAACCGAGCAGCGGTGCCTAAACGCGCCTGTGGAACGTGCAATAAGATGGTCAAAATAGGGGCTTCCTGTGGAAAGTGCTATACCTATTTTCATGCGAAGTGCGGGAAATCACAACAAGCGAGTGTGGGCCGATCAGCAGTAGACCGGACACGTTTCACTACTTTGCGTTGTATAAGACCGTCCCACTAGTTAAAACCGTAACTGCACGAGGCCCAGAATTATGATAGGCTTGCAGAGGTCGTTGAGATGGTGCTAGGCGCCAAAATAGCCTTGGTAGGTACAAGCATCGAAGATTGTCTGACACAGACCTCTCCACCTAACTCCACTGCATACAACATAACGACGCCGAATGTCACACTAATGAAGTTGCTCTTGCAAACGCTGCCAATCATTCAAATTACCCTAACATTCCCGAACACTTCACCCCCAACCCATTAACAACGATTTCTCCCAAAGCCACTTCCTCCTACCAGTGTTCACCGAAACCCAGGAAACATGCTAATCACAGTGACAACTGGGCCACTGTTGCAGCAAACTGCACTACAAACTTAGTAGATGCTGTTTTTATTATTAGAACCGTAATTAATTTGCAAAGCAACATTAAGCGGATGCACAGCAAATCGCTCAGTCTCCCAACCACGCTCCATACTTCCAGGAAAGACACTCAGAAACAATGGGATGCACTATCTATAAGGTGTACTACGGTTGCGGAGTCAACATCGAGTTCGTTAAAGGCGAAACAGGTCGATGACCTGAACCAATGGAATATCATAAGTAACCTCCTCAGTATTCTGACTGAACCCTCCAATTTAATGAGGACCACCTGCCGTCGAAATACCAAGCACGATGGCGAAATCAGGCTTCTTCAGGTTGTGCTAAATTCTGTCGATGAGGTGGAAGCAGCATTGCTTTCGATAGCTCGACTCCAGAACGGATTCGCTTTGGTCCGTGCCTCTCCAGGCATTTCATGGAGCGAGCGACCTGGGGCTTAGAAGAGTTTCGACTAAACACCGCAGACAAGACCGTTTTTGTTCACGGCGTCCCCCATTCTCATGAGCATGCTGAATGAGAAGCAATGGCTCGCCACCAAGATCAGTGGCGCTATATTCTTGAGACCTTGCTCTTGAAGGGCCTTGTAGCTACTTCTCTGTCGAGGCTGACAAGATCAAAAATTATAAAAGGTGCGGCCCAAGCATACTTAAGGTTGTGCTACGCCCTAGGCAGGTGGTACCTAGGCCAATGGAACGCTGGTATTCTCTTTGGAACAGACTGCCAACCGAGGTCCGGTTCAAAGCGGCGAGCAGAACTGTCGTCCGACTTAAATTATCACCGCAGCAGGCAAGCGATGTAAGGTTCGTATCCGAAATTAATACCTGTAGCTGGTCCGAAGGATGTGAGGATCTTCCTGTGCAATTTTGCAGTCGTACCCCATTCATTATGCTACCGAAGCCAACTCCAAGCGACTCGCCGATAATGGCACAAAAATGACTTTCGGGCGACCATAAAGCGGACGACATAACCTCTCATCCTAGCCACATGTGTTTCGGATTTCTGCTGAGAACCGAAACACTTATCTACATATACACGAATGTCCAAATCTTCCTTAGCAAAATCACCGAGCTTCGGTTGCGCAACGCAGCAAACGCTTGGGATCTCATCTCCATAACCGAGACTTGGTTGCCCTCAGAAGATACGGATGCCGAAATGGTGATTCACGGCAGCTATTGTTTCGATGCGATCGACCCAGAAGGGAAGGTGGTGCTATACTATACTATCGTAACGATTTACAATACGATCCATTAGATTATCCGAAGACGCGGGTCACCGATTGGATATGGTACCGTTTATATCTCTGAAATGATGACAACTGCTTCGTGCTAGTCATTTATCGCCCCCAGTGTCCACGCTAGAGACTGATTTCCGCCTAATATCGGCACTAACAAACTGCTTACTCCCAACTTGCAGCTACGTTCTTAGCTCGTGGGATTACAATGTGCATGACTTGGCATCCTCAGCATCCCCCATCGAAATATACAAAGCTGAACTGCAGGACATTATCGCAAGTATTCCACCCTACAATCAAATCACCTCACCTACCAAATACAGACCTGATAAAAAAACCCCAGTACAAGACTTCGTAGTTACAAATGAGGAACCCATGCTCGATAGAGCATTGGTCGACACCTCACAATGCTTACTTTATCATGACACTATACTTTACAACAATGTGCGTTAGGCTGAATAAAAGGAGGAACACAGTAAAGCAACGCGCACCACCACACGTTACAACATCCTGATGAAAATGAAGCCATTAGGTTGCGTGAACTTCATTCTGACTTGACTGGCATATATAGTTGCGATGACGGACTGGTACTTGTTGAAAGTTGGCTGGGCTCCCCTGACAACACCTGCAATCTGATTGTAACTAGTTCAGAAACAAACATGGTTTGTTCCACCAAGCCATCGTCATTCATCAGAAGTACAACTCGAAAAAGCATATCAGTAAGGAATTCAATTTGGCACGCCTACAAAGTCCGTCCTGAACCCGGAAACCTGGAACGACAATGTGGTCGTGTGCAACCACTGTAATTCGCTTATTTGTGAGGAAAAATTAGCTCACCAACAACGTTTGGCTTGTAATCTTTTTTAAATAAAAGCTATTGCAGTAGCATGTTAACATCATTCTCAAACTGAAGCGCAGTATCTCCCCATTACTTAACACGACAGTTGTGTTGACACCGAGCGCTGAAGAAGTAGCCAACGCTCTACGAATGCAGTATGCCCCGACCTTCCAAAGAGAAGTCCGTCAGTATTACATACGCACATCAATCGCCTGCTTTCAGCAAGTTCCTTGCCTTTAGCATTACAAATGTATTGAGGAAACTATTTTCAATGCGTACCTGAAACTCGCCTGGAATCGATGACATTCATTCAAGGGCGCTAATACTAGTAGTACTAACGCACACCGAACCATTATGGCATTTCTTTCAAACGTGCTTGCATAAGCAAACCGTGCCTACCATATGGAAACATGGATTAATCAAGCTAATTTTCAAAAGTGACAGCCTCAAGACCGCAAAGTATCGCCTAGTGGTCCTCCTGCTTTACACTTAAATGTAATGAAGTCAATCGTGGCTGAGGAGTTAGTCGATCATCTAGAACGCCACAATCTCAGAAGTAGCACGGTTTCCGCCAGCGCCGCTCATGCACAACCAGACTACTGATTGCGCGCAGCAACTTAGCAGAAGCGATCGACAAAGAGTGAGACCAATATCATTTACCTCGTATCCTTTAATAAAGCCTTCGACGGTTCGGACCATCGCGTTCTGCGTCGCAGGCTTAAGAGTTACTGAATTGGGGGATTCTGTCTTAAGGGTAAATTAGAAATTTCCTACAAAATCGGTAACTACAGGCTATAGCTCGAAATGAGCTGTGCGATCAGATTTATGTCGAGCTTGGAGTTACAAACGATACGTGCGAGGGTCGCATCTCTTTCTCTTGTTCTTTAACAAGCGTATGCGCCTGATTGTCCCGGATTTTATTAGCTACGCTGATGATGTTCACATATGGTGGGTGATCACCAACCAAAGAGATCAAGACACATTTCAGCGAGACCTGGACAATGCCTGTGAATGGTCAGTTTACAAGC